TTTTTGGATAGTCTCACTCTGTCACCCTACTAGAGCACCCTAGTGTTATAACACACAGCAACCTCACAGTCTTGAGCTCAAGGGATCATCTTGCCTCAGCCTGCCTAGTAGCTGAGTCTATAGGTGCCCACTACAACGCCTGGCTAGTTTCTCTATTTTTAGTGGAGATGGGGGTCTCGCTCTTGCTCAGGCTGGTTTTGAACTCCTGAGCTCAGGCAATCCACCCAGCTCAGCCTCCCAGAGTGCTAGGATCACAGGCCTGAGTCACTGTAATCAGGACATCCTGCTGATAGCTCCACAATTTTAAAAGTTATTCTTAATGGGTTAGTATATATGACATACAGATTTATCCATTCGTGATAAAGTTTATACGTGTTAACGATAGGAAGGATAAAGTTACAGATGTGATGACACCCTGCCTTCAAGGTACTTCAGATTATGAAAGAATTATAGGTGAATACAAGCCTGGAATTCCACCTGAATTATATGAAAGAAACATTTGAAAAAATCAAAAAGTTAACGTTTTATTGTATGTATTGCTTTTAAAATATGATTTAAATTTATTTATTTATCATGCGTACCACCTATCTCTCTACTGAAATGTAAATTCCTAGGAGACAAGATGTCTTCTCCTTCAATGATGGAGGAAAACCATCTGGCTGGATAAACAATGCTTGGGTGAGGCCTCTAGTATGTGGTGAATGAATGGATGAGTGAGGGACTGAGCTTGATCTGAAAAATATAGAATAAACAAATACTCATGTTGCTGTTTGAATTTTTACATAGAACTTTGAAGTATTTATGTTAGTTTAGTTGAAACAGCTGAAAAGCTTCATAAGCAAATTCAGATATAGGAGAGTCGCCAAAACACAGACAACAGCCAGTGCTGTATGACCAAACAATCCGTGAAAGAAAAACAATGAAACACAAAGAAACACTAAAGGATGACACAACTAATATGGTCCTTTTGGAAAGATGTTTGGAGAATGCTTAGGGACCTAAAATAGACCTGCCATTCAATCCTACAATTCCTCTACTAGGTATATATCCAGAAGATCAAAAATCACATTGTAACGAAGATATTTGTACCTGAATGATTATTGCAGCCCCATTCATACTTGCTAAGTCATGGAAGAGGCCTAAGTGCCCATCGACCCATGAATGAATTAATAAATTGTGGTGTATGTATACCATGGAATATTATGCAGCCTTAAAGAAAGATGGAGACTTTACCTCTTATATGTTTACATGGATGGAGCTGGAACATATTCTTCTTAGCAAAGTAT